GGCACAGAAAGAGAATCAGAAAGTGAATTATGTCAAGTATGATACATTCACCTTCCAGTGTATTTCTACTTGGGCATCGCAACTGGACGTAGCCAAACTGAATACAGGCTTATTTGTGGATAGTTTGTAAGAAATGACTGTTTCATGCCGAATCCCAACTCATTTGAGGGAATAAGAGAGTCTGCTTTGTAGTAGTGGTTTTGACATTGACTGCATGACCTGGGGCAACCGGTTGACTTATGTCCCTCTCTTTTTTATCCCTATTCTCCTTGTCTCCATCTCTTTACTGTGAGGTTGTGATGATAAAAATAAGATGCAGAGGCATTTTTAGCTTATAGGGGTAGAGAGAGAAGTGCTATGCAAACCAAGTGCTGGCTCTATCCTGAATAATTAAGAAACCTTCCAGCCTCAAGATGCCAGGACTCAGGGATGAATGGTGACTACACTGAGAAACTCGAAGAACCAGGACACTGACGCAGCCTGCCAGCCCCCAACCTGTCCCCTCACTGCACCAACACTGAGCACTTTCTGTGCGCTGGGCTCCGTGCCGGTGACACTAAACAAGACACACACTGCCCTGCTTCATGGAATTCACTCTATTGAGAATCTGCTGAATTGGAATCCCTAGGAGTAGGGTCACGGTAGCTCTACTTTTTAAATATCCATAGGAATTCAGATTGCAATTCAGATTAAGAATCTCTCTCTCTCTCTCTCTCTCACACACACACACACACACACACACATACACACACTCACACACACACACCTCAGTTGCAACAGCATCCTGAATGAGAAGCCAAATGCCCTAGGTTCTAGTCTAAACTCTTTTACTTATTGCCTGAAGGACTTTGGCTAAGTCACTTGGCCTCTCTGAGTTTTGACAATTGCAAAACAGGGTTAATAATATCATCTATGTCACATACATAAAGGCTTAGAATGTTACAGTTACATATAGTATTAAATTTTTCATTGCACCCCCAACACCCCGCCCCCTCCTCAAAGCTATCCTCTAAACACAGTAACATGAACTTTTAAAAACATACACTGGACAGATCACTCCTCTAATTAAAGACCCTCTGGCTTCCCACTACACTTAGGAAAACCCCAAGTTTTCTCTATTATTGGAGCTCTGGCCTTCTTTCAGTTCGCTGAATATGCCAAACTCTATTCCTCATGGCTTTCACACATGCTGTTCCTTGCCTGGACTGCCCTTCCCTGCACTGTTCACCTGATCAACTACAGCTAACCTTCGGATGTCATCTCCAGTGTTAGTTCCTCAGAGATGCCTTCTCTGACCCATCCTTCTGAATGAGGGCCCCCTTTAGAGTCTCCCATTGATGGTCATCGGATATTTAATGTCAGTCTCCCCCACTCACTTGTGAGCGCCATGTCTTTTTTGCTCACTGCTGTCTTCCTAGTGCCCCAAACAGTACCAGGCAGCATTAGCTAAATACGGATGAAATGCACGCCTGGGTGCTCCCTGTCATTGGGTCAAGCGGAAGTCGGATAAGAATATGGTTAGGGAGAATATTTTATTTAATCCTAACAGATTCACTTACAAATGAAGAATTGAAGCCCAGAAGTTAAAACAACGTATAAGAGTATGAAGGCTAGTAAGTGGCAGTGTCAAGAGCAGAACTCAGGAATGCATGATTCTGTGGTTATTCTCTTAACACAAGAGTGGGCTTCCTTGTGAACATATAGTACCCTCAGGGGCTTCCAGGATCACTTAGTGGGGGCTCTTGCAGGAGGCCAAAGAACCCCCTGAAATCAGAGACCTTACAGCTAATGTGATTGCATATGTTCCTGATGAGATTTGGGCTAGAATAGTAAAGTAATCCCCTCCCTTTCTCTCCTCCCCAACCCCGTGCGCGCGCGCACGCGCGCGCGCGCGCACACACACACACACACACACACACACACACACACACACTTCCTTCTTCCCACCCCTCTTAAAGTCAGGCAAAAATGTCCAGATGATCTTTCCTATTCTGTAGTAGAGGTTATTTAAACATGTCTTTGACAATGAAAACATTTTTTCAATAACAATCCTATTAGGATTTTACACGGAGTGCTCTTTAAAGTAGATTATGAAACATCAACTTTTATGTAGTTGTTTGCAGGTCTTAATTTGGTGCCATCATTATTCTCCCATCAAATGCATATCCACAGTGCTGTACATATTGGGAGAGAAAATACGAACAACAAAAACCTCAGGTGAATTTCAGGCTCTCAGGAATCCCAGCAGAGACCTGTTCTCACCTGCCAGGCCCTCAGTCCCCCGGGGGAACTGTGCTCTGGCCTTGGACTTCTCATCAATCTCTAAGAAAGGAAGTAACCTGATAACTGCGTAGACCTGGCTTTTTCACCCAAACTCAAGTCCACCACTGCCAGAAATACAGCATCTTTAAAATATACTTCATTAAAACAATTTCACAAAAACATAAGGAAAATATGAGACACCATGACTATAAATGCTTCTACCTTAAAACAAAGTAAAATATAAAACCTGACCTTTCATTGTTCTCCATGAAAACCCTTTAATTTATCAACTGGGTTTTTTTCTTCTTTTAGACAGAGATGGAGAGATAACTTGAGATATGATATTTAAGTAGTCAATGAATTTCCCTTTGCAACACACGATATCAACATAATTCAGTTTCTGACACTATGACTATGTAAACAAAAAATTTCCTCAATTGCTAATAAGTGAGCAGTCCTGAGGAGGTTAAATCAATTAGTTATGCAATTGATAATGACAGGTAAAATGAAATTTTTATAATGAAGGGGGACCCAGAACCCCCAGGTTGAATGCTCTATATGCCCAGTCCCCTATAACCCCCTTTCATCCAGGAATCCCTTCCATCCAGGAATCCCTTCCACTGCTGGTCCCCAGCCACCTCTAGGACATCTTTAGCTTCTTGTCCTACTTCCAGGCCCCCCGCTGCTCCTCGAACAATCAGCAGCCCCCACCAAGGCATGCTGATGAAAAGGGCTTACCTCTCCGCTTATATCCCACAATACTTCCAAATGTCACAAAGGCTGCATAACCAAAACCAACAAGGTCCATTGGCAAGGCTGCAGTCGTAGAGCAAGGGAGAAAGGACAACTTCTACAAAATAAAAAGAGTTTGGGAAAGCAAATGTATATAAAAGTGATATACATTACTCAGAATTATAGACATTGATTTCTCTACTAAAAAGGGTAAGCTAGATCTTCACTCATCCAACACTCAGCCACTGTGTACCACGCTCATCCCCCTCAAGCCCACCCGGGAGACACCCAGGTTGAGTCTCCTTTCCTGGTCTCCCAAACCTGCTGTTCCTTCAGCTGTTTACTTCCCTTCCACTTCTGCTGTGGTTAGCCAGGTCTCCTCACTGGAGACAACACCACAATCTCTGCTTAATGCAGTGGTTCTCAACCTGTGGGTCGCGACCCCTTTGGTGGTCGAACGACCCTTTCACAGGGGTCACCTAAGACCATCCTGCATATCAGATATTTACATTACGATTCATAACAGTAGCAACATTACAGTTATGAAATAGCAACAAAAATCACTTTATGGTTGGGTCACAACATGAGGAGCTGTATTTAAAGGGCCAGAAGGTTGAGAACCACTGGCTTAATGCCTGGAATGTTGGCCTCTTTCTCACCTACAAACCCCCACCATTCCCAACAGCCCACCCCCTCTTGACTATCTCCCAACCTCCTTAGTCACTCTAGCCTGGTCTGGAGCCAACTGCTCCTTCTTCTAAATTCCTTGACGTCAGCAACTCCACCTTATAATCCTTTCATCTTTGAACAGGTATTTGTCCCTCCATCCTCCCCCCGACAGCCCACCCCCTCTTGACTATCTCCCAACCTCAGTCATTCTAGCCTGGTCTGGAGCCATCTGCTCCTTCTTCTAAATTCCTTGACGTCAGCAACTCTATCTTCTAGTTCTTTCATCTTTGAACAGGTATTTGTCCCTCCATCCTCCTCACACCGAAGAATGGAAAGGGGTAATGTGGATGCTTGTTTGTTGACTGAACCACAGCTTCACTTTAAACATGTGCTTTGTCTCGGGCTTTGTTATGAGACAGCTTGTCTGGGGGCGGCAGAGACATCCACGCTTAATCAATGGTTAAGTCACTAAGGAATATAACGAAGCCCTGGCATAAAGTTGACTGAATGACAACGATATCCTATTGTGCTTCACAGCAGCAGGTGAAGCATACATCCAGGGGTGAGAGACTCCACAGAAGTCCTGCCCACAGGTCTCTAAGATGTAGGGGAAAGTATACGGGCTGCAGGCTGGAGACATGACACTGGTCACTAGCTGGCTCTTGGTTCTGGCATCACACCCCATCCTTAACACCAACTCCTCTGAGAGTCCCTATAATGCTTTATACCTTAACTTTTTTACATCGATATCTCCTCAGGGGGGGAAATAATTATCTTTGTATATACGAGAAATGATGTATGATATTTCACTTCATTCTCAGTTTTCTCACCGCTTGTCATTTAGGTTAACCTGGTCTTTTATTTCCTGTAGCACTTGGTAACAAATTGACTTGGAAGGATGGAAAACGGACTGTGAGCTTATCTCGGAGGGTAAGCTAGAACTTACTGTGCGGAAGGGTCTTTGGGGAGGAAATCCGGGGCACAGGAGGAGACGATGGCCCTGAAAAGGAGGCAACACTGAAAAATCCTCAGTATCTGTGGGAAGAAGAATGAAATAAAACAGGGGAGCTCATCTGTGCCCAAGAAGCAGTGCAGTAAGACTGAATGTGTAGGAAGGACCTGCGTTCAAAAACCATTGTTGACTAAATGATGGAAAAACAAATAATAATGAGGATAATGTTTACGAGCAAGTACCATGTGCTAGGCACCATTCTAAGGCCTTACATGTTATCAACCCATTTAATTATCACCACAACCCTCTGCAGGAAGTACCACCATTACTATCCCCATTTTCCAGATGAGGAGAGGCACAGAGAAGGCAAGCAACACCTCTGAGGTCTCACAGCAGAAGCAAGATTTCACACTCAGAGAAGTCTCATCCCTAGACACTATAATGCCTTTCATAACTGAGTTTTACTGGCCGAAAAAAAAGTGAATATACAACTGAAACAAATGTTCTTTAGAGTTTTAAATTCTGGATTAATCACTCCACTTGGCCTCATAGCTTAAAAGTTGTGAGCGCATGTCACTGTCTTCCATCTGGGGACTTACCATCTTCAGCCCAATGAGCACCTCATGTTCAGTCCTACTTACTATCTTTCTGAAAGAACTAACCATATTCCACAGTGTATGGTTGGCTTCAAACCTGATGTCACCACTTACTAGCTGGGTGACATTAGGCATGTTCGTTAATCTCTGTGTATCTCAGTTTCTCCATCTGTGAAACAGGGATAATAAAAAATATCGACCTCATAGAGCCGTGATCATTAAATGAGTTAATACCATAAAGCACTTAGAACATACTGAGCACTCAACGAATATTAGCTACTCTAATAATGGTTATTCTTCTTGTTCACCCTCACACCCATTTTTAAGCTTGATCTGAGAAAACAACTGAGGTTGGGTGAATTTATGATTCAGGCATTCAATGAATGAAACGATAATATTGCAACTTATATTTATACTGAATTCCACTTAGCAACTATTTATTGAGCATCTTCTTTGCACAAGGCGGTAGGAAGCAAAGCCCTCCGACATGGCCCTGGTCTTCCAGGACTTGTAATATAGCACAGAGGAAGAGGCAGAGACATGAATGAGCCCTAAGAAGAGAGGCCTGGGCACCTAAAGAGGCTTGGGAGCTTAAGGAAGGATTCCTAGAGGAGGCAGAGTCCCAGCTGGGACCTTGGGGAGAATAGGAGTAACCGAAGTGAAGAGGGTAGCAAGGAAGGGCTTGTTGTAGGCAAAGGCCTTGTGGCATGAGAAACCATAGCATGTTTTTAAGTGGAAAGAACGGCAAGGGGGTTGTGAAAAGAGATGGGGCTGGTGAGAAAAACAGGGCCAGACCAGCTACGTGAGGGAATCTGGTTTCTGTCTCAAGGGCAGCAAAGGATGAATGAAGGGAGCCCTATGAACAGATTTAATGCCAGCAAGCACTTCCTGGTAGCAGGAGATGTGTTGAAGCGAGGCAGGGGAATAAGCTCAGAGGCTGTTGCAGTAAACAAAGCATGAGATGATGGTAGCCTGGCCTGGAGAAATGGCAATAAGGGTGGAGAGAGGTGGACAGATATGAGAAAGGTTCAGGAGGAAGCATCAATAAGCCTGGATGTAGAGGTGAGGGAGAGGGGCGAGTCAGAGATGATTCACCCTGGGTCTCTGGCTCGGACCATTAGGAGCCGAAGGGGCAGGGGAGCCTTGATGCTAGTCCCTGAAACAGGGGACACTGGAACAGCAGTAGGCGTGTGGTGGGGGAAGGAGGGAGGTGACCAGGAATGATGAGATCTGTTTGAAACATGTTCAGTCTGAGATGCCTGACACACAGTCGGGAAAACACCTATATAGACCTGATGCTTATGAGAGATCGCTCATCACCAGATAATAATCTGGGGATCTAATTTTCCTAGTAAGCCAACCACCTGATGTGAAAGGCTGATTCTACTACCTCCTCTGAGCCCCCACTTCTTCTTCTGATGCCCTCTTCTACCTGGCATAGAGTTAGTTATGTTGGACTTATCTCTCCTCTCAGCTAGCCCAGATCCTCGAATATAAAGCTCAGGTTACATTCATTTTTGTCTTTCTCACAGGATCAAGCTCATTGGCACGCATAGGCAGGTTTTAGTAAATACCTGCTGAATGAATGAGTGGTGAGTGAGCCTAGGTAACAAACTGTCTGAAGATGTGGTGTCACTGACCTACCCTCAGTATAGCTCTAATGCCAGGAAACAGCCAGCCCCTTAATCTCCTAGTGAACTGAGCATTGTTTTGAGGGGGAAAAATCTATTTCCAATTTTTGCAAGAAGTTTCTGTACTCACAGAGAAAATTCCAACAAAAAGCAATCACCCTTCTTTCTCCTCTTCCATGGCACGACCATTTGAGCAACGCAGAAGCACACATGAAAAGCTTCATCAACATGAAGGGAT